GATTTAACTTACAAAATTCATAATAAATTAAATACAAATCCAAAAAATTCACCGAAAATTGATAGGAACTCCTTGTGACATTCTTTACGCCCCAAAACTCTAAAAATATTATTTTGACTTATAAAATTTGAAAACGATAACAAAAACTCAACTTTGTTTCAAAACAAACCAAAACACTAAATTATGTTCCATAAAAGTAATGTATATTGGTGCGTCTATATTGCATGTCTGTTGCATCTATATTGCTTGTCTATTGCGTGCATATCGTACATTTATTGCGTGTGTATTGATTGTTTGTTGCTTACGAAGGAAATAAACAATAATACACAGGCAACAGACAAGCAATATACACACAACAGACAAGCAATATACACGCAATAGACATACAATATACACGCAATAGACATGCAATATACATCACTCCATAATTACACCAACCATAAGGAAGTCGTATTGATTAGGAAATTCTACTTAACAGTTGTTCTTCCTACTAAAAGAAAGAATAAGGACTGTTTCCCCCTTAAATATAACTCCTTAAATCTTACTTGAGTGGTACTTTTGCCCTCGATAAACATGCAATATTGGAGCAATAACATGCGATATGCATGCAGTAAACAATCAATAAACCTTCAATAAATATTCAATATCGGTTCAATAACATGCGAAATACATGCAGTTAACAATCAATAAACCTTCAATAAACATGTAAACAATCAATAAACCTTCAATAATCATTCAATATCGGTTCAATAAAATGCGAAATACATGCAGTTAACAATCAATAAACCTTCAATAAACATGTAAACAATCAATAAACCTTCAATAAACATTCAATAACATGCGAAATACATGCAGTAAACAATCAATAAACCTTCAATAAACATGTAAACAATCAATAAACCTTCAATAAACATTCAATATCGGAGCAATAACATGCGAAATACATGTAGTAAACAATCAATAAACCTTCAATAAACATTCAATATCATGCGATATACATGTAGTAAACAATCAATAAACTTTAAGTATATGCAAATAAACAATCTATATACACTGAATAATTGTGCAATTTTCAAAAAAATGTATTGTCTTATTATTGCATCGTATTGGCCTTGTATTGTGATTTTATCGTCTTCGTATGACTTTATTTTTTTAAAGTCAGTCTTTGAAAGTTTTTGCTGGGTTTCAGGCAAATAAATGCTTTTGTTTCAAACAATAATTTAAACTCAATGCCAATCCACCTATTTCAAGAACAAAAATTACAAAATGGGTTTGAAAACTCATTGGTGGTGCGTGCAACATGTCTTTTTGGGGAGAACTTTTACAATTCTTGAAACCGTACACTTAATTGGTCATTAAAAGAACAAATAATATGACAATTGATACAAGTAATAAAACTAATACCAAGTCCTTAATGGACTTCATACGTGTCATCTTGTTGTTCTACTTCAGCGGAGGTTACATCAACCCATTCGAATCCATTGCAACTGGTGACTCCCTAATTGCAGGCATCACATATGCAAAATAATTCTGTCAGAGTTAGACCTAGGTTTTTTTTCACCCACATACATATTCTGGAAATGAAAACTTACATAGGAGGTTAGACACTTCCAAAATGGCTTCCCTCGATTTTTATCTGATTTTGAAACCCGAAGCACCATTGCAGCTCCACAATACTAACACCTCTTTGTTTGAGCGGGAGATGAAGACGAAGACATGTTGAATCTTCTCACTTGTACCTCTTCTCACTCAGATCTTCTGTAAGGTTTTTATTTGAACCTTTATTGTATTTTGGCTCTTCTCTTAAACCAACAAAACCCTTGTAATATTAATTAGATTCTAGGTTAGAATCAGTGTGGGTTGAAGGGCTTCCAAGTCTCCTCGTTGCAGTTCAAAAGGTAAAATCATATGCATAGATCACTTGGATTAATACATTCTCACTTGTATTAATCCATTCTGCGTAAGTTTTTAGCTTTGTCTGATTCCTTTATTGCATGGATATTTCTTATCTGACCAAAGCATGGGGTTTATTATATTTATCATTGACTATCTTTACAAAATATTAAACTCCTTCTTTCTAAAAACATCTTGATTTTTATACTTTATCTTTTCTAAAAGGATGTTTTTTATTTCATGTCATACCTTTGAGAATGTCACTTTATGTCAAAGCATGCATGAGTTGTCCGCTCATTCCTTCCTTTGAGCACATATCTAGTTATTTAATATATCTTGCTTTAGACATTGACGTATGGGTTGAATACTTTTATTCAACACCCATGTGAGAAAACTTTCTCCACATTTTAATATAAAGCTGCCGCTCCTTGTTCCTAGTCTTCAAATCATTGTTGGCTTTTTTATTTCTCCTCATCAAAGCATGCGGGTCCTTGATTCCAAATTCATCAACATTGATGACTTATTTTATTAAAAGCATGTAAGATAAACTTTCTCTACTTCTAAGAAACATGCGGCTCCTTGTCCCATAACTTATCAAGTTGATGACTTGTTTTATTTCTTTTATTCTTCTTGAAACTGTTTTCAGAAGAGAGAATATTTTATTCCTTGCAGATGCTTTTATTCCCAACGGTTACATGAGCATGGTTTAATTTATTTAATCTTATCTTGTGCTCATTGTATGGGTAGATCATTTTAAAACCTTCTTTTTTCTCCTTGAGCAGTCCACCTCCATCCTTGTCTGCTGCTGTTTTCTAGTCTATATACTCTCATTTTAAAACCTTCTTTTTTCTCCTTGAGCAGTCCACCTCCATCCTTGTCTGCTGCTGTTTTCTAGTCTATATACTCAAGTCCTTGACTGCAAAGATGGTAACTCATTCATTTTAGAAACTTTTCTGCATCTCACTTTCTCCTTGCCTAGCAGAATTGTTTCAAAGGTTTTTGAAAAAACTTCTTATGTGCATCTAAGCATTCAAGAACCTATTTTACTGGTTCAGCCACTCTTGAACACTTGAGGGCTATGTGGATGATTGCATACACATAAACACTTCCCCGAGTTGATTTATACTCTTTACGGCTGAATGTTTTTCATTGTTTGAGTTCTTTATTATTTGTTCAACTAGTATATGTTACTTGTGAGTATATGATTGATTGTATACATATAGCCTTCTCCAAGTAAACACTTACAAGATTTCGGTTGAACATTTGTTTTGTTTCATTGTTGTTATGTTGAATTAAACTATTTGCTTCAAGTTCATTACTTCTAGTTTAATCATCACAACACTTAGGTTTCATTTGTCTAGCTCAATCATACTTTGTGATTGAGATAGATGAATCTGTGAAACCATAACTCACTTCATACATCAATCTACATGCAACTTGAGCTTGGTGCTCTTGAGAGGATTTGCTGCTAAGAGATAAAGAAAAGGTGCTTGTTGAAAGATTGGATTGTAGCTGCCTATAGGTGATAGATGAGCTAAGTCCTCTTTCGTTTTTCTTGTATTTCTTAATTGAGCAGATTGGATCTCTCCTGGCTTGGTGCCCCCAGTTTTTCACCCTGTTGGGTTTTCTGGGTCAACAATTCTCGTGTGTTATTTACATTCCGCTATACTTGTTTTAATTCATTAACCACGAAATTGTTTGTGTTTGTGCTTATGTGCTTTTGAAGAACTTAAAATTTAAAAAGGGTAGTCTTTTTCTTCTCGCCTACTTCACCCCCCCTCTGTAGGCTTTTAGAGCTTAGGGCCTGGTTTTACATCTTCTCACTGAAACCTCTTCAGACTCATACCTTCTCACTCATAGTTCTTAGTCATACCCCTTCACTCATAACCCTACTTCTCACTCAGCTCTCTCTCATCTCTGCTAAATCTAATTATATCCTTCTTTTCTGTGTGTGGGTGGGTTGGTTACGATCTGGATACCTGTACCGTTAGAATTGTGACACCTTTTACCCCGAAAAGCAATATAATATTTCACTACCAAATATTAATCTGAAAATTGAGAGGACACTGCTTTAAATATATTATTTTATTTATATTTCATTAAGGTAACTAGTTGGATAAGAATTCATCATCATTGGTTCCATTTTAATAACATTACTAGGGGTAGTTTGGTGTGGAAAAATGAAAAAGTATCTGATGGGACCTTCTGTGACTAGTCAGTAATCCATCACATTTGTATCAATGAATTTGATGGCGGGAAAATCCTAAAATGGCTATGCAAATAGGTTATTAATTGACTTTTTGACTGTCTGACTCTCTTTGCATTTCGATGACATTTTTCCTTCTCTTGTCTTGAGTTTTAGGGTGTTGGGTTCAGTTTCTTTAAAAATGGTCAACTTGGAAAAACCCCAAATGGAAACACCTTTTCAAAACACTACAAACAGAGGCTAAAACAAAATCAAAACCCCATATATTCTCATTTCTCCCCTCTTCCACTCCTCAAATCATTCCATTCCAAAAACATTTCAATGAATTCGAAACTGTTTGGGCCTGGTTGAAATTTGACCGGGTCAAGCCCGAGATCCGACAATTAAATTAACATTGAGGGAAACATCTCCATTTGGATATGCCCCAAGCCTTCATCCCGGAGTTAGCTTGGTTTAAAGTGATGTTATACGTGGCAACCCAATGTTCCGTATGGCATCTGTGTGCCCATTGTTCCATACGTTGGCACACACTCCACAAGTGTGGAACACCATTTCAATGGCAGAGTACCCAGATCATCCTAGCTGGTACCATGTCAATCCTGCGGTCCAGCATTTCTTGCAACAATGTAGGGCTTGCGAGAACCCTGAGTTGATATTTAGAGAAGCGTTCGAAGTGTTTTTCATGCAGGGTAATGTGGAAGCATTGTATGGGATGCGCATTGCAGCCACGGCAGGCCATATGGAAGCAGCATATCTAGTTGGACTACTTGGCATGTCCAGAGTTGGTCAGTCAAAAGAGGATGCATTAGAATTCTTGTGTTCTTTGAATCAACGTAACAACATTGATATGAAAGGAACCAGGGATGCTTTGAGACGAAGATTAAGATGAGTTTTCTCTGTTACTATGGGAAGATTAAGTTCAATCACTGCAGCGCTTGTAACAGCAACGAATGATGTTTTGTTATTCAAGGCTGGCCTACTGAAGAAAAGATAAATCCTACCTTCTAGACTTGTTGCAATCGATGCAAATGGCACCGTGAGTATATTGTGCCAGGAAATCCATACCCTTATAATTAGTTGTAGTATGTTTTTACGGTTTTTATGCATTGTGGACTTGCTTCTCTTTAGTTCTAGGTTGGCTGGCTACATTGTACAAATGTTGTTTAAATGTTGGGTTTGAATCTATTTTGTTTGGTGTTTGTGCTGTCATAAACCGTTTTATATATAAATGTATAATATATATTATATAGTGGAATGATTACTGACATCATAGACGGCTACGAATGACATTTTCCTGACACAGATATTTTGCACAACTGCAATCTTGATATTTGGTAAACGAAAAGTTAACTTTGTTTCAAAACAAACCAAAACACTAAATTATGTTCTATAACATAACACTCGTGTTCTTTGATTTTAACGCTTACCAAAATTAACAAATTGAAGAAGAGAGAAACTGATTAGCACCAGAAATGGTCTATTTGCACGCAAAATAAAAATAAAAATAAAAATTTGGAGTAAATATAATTAACAAATGTACAGGCTAAAAAGTAATATAATAATAATAATAATAATTTAGGATAAATAATAATAAAATACTAATGTAGCGTAACCATGAAACAGGGAATTCAATAGGAAGATGAAGTCTCAATGAGTTCGTAGAAATTTTCGGAACATTATTATGATTTTTGTGTATTTAGTTATGAATTTTCTAAGAAAAAGTAATAAATTCGTTGAGACACACTGACTGCGCCCCATTCAGCTTCCGCCATGTGTCACCCCACACGATTTAATACTATTTTTCTAGGATTTAACTTATAAAATTGATAATAAATTAAATACAAATAAAAAAAATACACCGAAAATTGATACGAACTTCTTGTGACATTCTCTACGCCCTCAAACTCCAAAAATATAATTTTGACTTATAAAATTTGAAATGGATAACCAAAACTCAACTTTGTTTCAAAACAAACCAAAACACTAAATTATGTTCTATAACATAACACTCGTGTTCTTTGATTTTAACGCTTACCAAGAACTCAAATATGTAGAATCATGAGTTTAAACCTTTATAATCAAAGATAATGTTATCAGGAGTTTGTAGCAATTTTCGGTGTATTTTTCTGATATTTAATCAATTTTTTATGAATTTTTAAACATAAATTTGATTAAAGTATCAAACCTGACACGTGGCGCGTTGACAGGAGGACAGCCATCAGACACACTGACTGCGCCCCATTCAGCTTCCGCCATGTGTCGCCCCACACAATTTAATACTATTTTTCTAGGATTGAACTTATAAAATTGATAATAAATTAAATACAAATCAAACAAATACACCGAAAATTGGGCCATGTGTCGCCCCATACGATTTAATACTATTTTTCTAGGATTTAACTTATAAAATTGATAATAAATGAAATACAAATAAAAAAAATACATTGAAAATTGATACGAACTTCTTGTGACATTCTCTACGCCCTCAACCTCCAAAAATATAATTTTGACATATAAAATTTGAAAATTATAACAAAAACTTAACTTTGTTTCAAAACAAACCAAAACACTAAATTATGTTCTATAACATAACACTCGTGTTCTTTGATTTTAACGCTTACCATGAACTCAAATATGTGGAATCATGAGTTTAGACCTTTATAATCGAAGATAATGTTATCAGGAGTTTGTAGCAATTTTCGGTGTATTTTTCTGATATTTAATCAATTTTTTATGAATTTTTAAACATAAATTTGATTAAAGTATCAAACCTGACACGTGGCGCGTTGACAGGAGGACAGCCATCAGACACACTGACTGCGCCCCATTCAGCTTCCGCCATGTGTCACCCCACACGATTTAATACTATTTTTCTAGGATTTAACTTATAAAATTGATAATAAATTGAATACAAATCCAAAAAATACACTGAAAATTGGTACGAACTTCTTGTGACATTCTCTACGCCCTCAAACTCCAAAAATAAAATTTTGAATTATAAAATTAAAAAATGATAACAAAAACTCAACTTTGTTTTAAAACAAACCAAAATACTAAAGTATGTTTTATAACATAACACACATGTTCTTTGATTCGACAATTACCGTGAAGATAAAAATGTGGAATCATGATTTTAGACCCCATAGTCAAAGACAATCTTGTAAGGAGTTTGTATCAATTTTCGGTGTATTTTTCTAATTTTTAATTATTTTTTAATGAATTTTAGAAGTGAAATCCATGAAAAATAATATTAAATTATAGAGAATCACACGTGGTTGCAGCTGAAAGGAAAGCAGTCATTGTTTTCGACAGGTGGCGTCGTACGATTGCGCCACATGTCATTTTGTTTATTTTTTTCCAAGTTTATCTGTAAAAATTAATTAAAAATCAGAAAAATACACCGAAAGTTGTTACAAACTCCTTACGACATTGTCTTTGACTATGGAGGTCTAAACTTATGATTTGACATATTTATGTCCACAGTAAGCCTCGAATCAAAGAACATAAGTGTTATATTATAGAGCATCAACTAGTGTTTTAAATCGTTGAGAAATAAATGTGAGTTTTTGTCATCAATTTATATTTTTCTAAGTGAAATTGTATTTTTGTAGCTTGAGAGTGTAGAGAATATCACAAGGAGTTCGTAGGACTTTCCGGCATATTTTTTGGTTTTTTAATTTATTTGTTATGAATTTTAGAAGTGAAATCCAAAAAAAATAAAACTAAATGAATTATAGAGAATCACACCTGGCTGCAGCTGAAAGGAGAGCAGGCATTGTTTTCGACAGGTGGTATCTTATGATTGCACCACATGTCATTTTGTTTACTTTTTCCAAATTTATTTTGTTTAAATAAAAATAATTAAAAATCAGAAAAATATACCGAAAATTACTACAAACTCCTTATAATTATGGAAGCCTAAATTATTCTTATATTATTATTTACCCTAAATTATTATTATATTATTTTTATCCTAAATTGTTATTATATTGTTATTTACCCTAAAATATTATTATATTACGTTTTACTGTGAATTATTATAATATTATTATTTACCCTAAATGATTATTATATTACCTTTTACCCTAAATTGTTATTATATTGTTATTAATCTTAAATTATTATTATATTATTATTTACCCTAAATTATTATTCTATTACTTTTTATCCTAAATTGTTATTATATTTTTACGTACCCTAAAATATTATTATATTACTTTTTGATAATAATAAATTAAATAAAAATCCATCATGTGTCACTCCATACCATTTAATAATAATTTTCTAGAATTTAACTTACAAAATTCATAATAAATGAAATAAAAATCCAAAAATACACCAAAAATTGGTAGGAACTCATTGTGACATTCTCTACGCTCTAAAAAAATACACTATGTAAATCTAATGTCTAACTTCAACTTTATAATTTCTAAGAAAGAGTTGAAAAAATTGATATGGCAACAGTAACAGAGCAAAGACAATATAACAGCAATCATATGGCAATACGTAAACCTGATATTCATCTTCAACTTTATAATTGCCAATACAGAGATGACAAAATTGATATGATAGCAATAAGGGAGCAATAGGAAGACAATATAACGACAATTAGATGACAATACGTACACCTGATGTCCAACTTCAACTTTATAATTGCCAATACATAGGTGAAAAAAGTAATATGGCAGCAATAAGAGAACAATCGGAAGACAATATAATGGCAATACATGAAGAGAATACACAATGTATACAATGTTCTCTCTTCAATGTATAATATAAGTAAAAGTATTTTTCCATTGTTCTGTGAAAAAGAAGGATTTTTCTATTGCACACACTTGCGAATATAAAAAGAACAAATTCAAGACTGAAATTTCTCAAGTAAATTGAACTCAATTTCATTGAATGAGGACTAAATTACAAGACTAAAATATATAATTCCTCAGTTACATGTTTTTTTCCATATAATTACAGCACACTTCCTGTGATAAAATGGAATGTTGTCCCACGCCAAATTGATGCTAGTTCTCAATGACAACAATCTTCCATAACTCAAAAATCTAGGTCCAACTGTCATTAAAAAAAAAATAAAGAAGCCTGCAAAAGAGATGGCAAAACAAGAAATTAGCGAAAAGGAGAAACAAAGACCAAAAAAACAAAATAGAAACTGAGACAAGAAAAACGCAATCACTAAAAGACCTAAGAAACTCATACTAATTGGCAAAGAGCTTCCTAACCTAAAACACCAACAAGAGAAAAAAGGAAAAAGTGGAACACATAAAGCACAAAGAAACTGTTAAACTAAATAAGAGGGACATAACCAAACATCAAAACACCTCAAGGGGTGAACTTAATCAACCAACCAATAATCAATATATCCAAACAACATCCATAACATCAATACAGAACCAGATACAACTACAACATCCATAATAGAAATACATAGAACAATGAAACTAAAAAACAGCTGCATTCCAATCCGATAAGATTGAAGAAAAGTAACTATTCCTGTACAAAGTGATATTACGGGAACATGATTAGGAACAAAAAGAACCATTAAAAAATCATCAGATGGTTTGGCCAAAAATGGGGCAATGTGGAATTGTCTGACTCAAGAAGCTCCACATGTACTTTATATAAGCTTCCTAAAGAAGGCAATAGTGAACAGAACAACCAAAATTTTCTGAAGCAGTCCAATATTCTCCATTTTCTAAAAAACAAACAATTCCTGATAAAATAAAAACAGAACCAGATACAACTACAATAATTGCGTGTATATTGCATGTTTATTGCGTGTATATTGCTTGTCTGTTGTGTGTATATTGCTTGTCTATTGCTTGTGTATTGTTGTTTATTTCCTTCGTAAGCAATAAACAATCAATACACACGCAA